ACTTTTAATCCAGGTTACAATAATCCACACTTTTAATCCAGGTTACACTCTTCCCTGAAGGACACATTTTACAAAGTAGCTACATATTATGCAGGTATAAAGATACATTTGTATATATTTTTGTGTACATTTATTTTTTTAAGCTATTTGACTAACTTTTATTTTTTATTATTCAATATTTTACTAACAGAATAGTCAAATAGCAACCTGTTTTTGTGGGAATTGCTATGTAAGTCAAATGTTCAATTTTGGAATAAAGGGGTGGAAATTAAAACGTTGTCTTTTTTTGCCGATTCATCGATTAATCGAAAAAATAATCGCCCGATGAATCGATTATTGAAATAATCGTTAGTTGCAGCCCTATTCATGACACACGCTTGCTCGGTTTCTGTGTTCTGAACACATCAGATATTCTCTGTGGGAGGAACTAATCTTTACACAGGTCTGTAGCCCCGCCCCATACGGTCTAACCTTGGCCAGGCTGAGCGCGTCATGTCTGAACTTCTGTTTGTTCTTCTGCAGCTTTCCGGGCATCATCTTCCCTGTACGGAAGTCAAAAGACGCCAAGTCTACGGCGTTTCCAAGGTAACGGGATAGCTGAGGCTTACTCCGGAACTTCTTCCCCTTTGGACTGAATTACACACAAACACAAACATATAAACAAATAAAAATAAACGCACACAATCTTCACTAAAACTTGTAAATACACATAGTAAATGGAAAAAATTATAAATATATTTTAATGTTGAGATGTTTTCTGTTCTGAGCTAAAAGCTGAAAAATTAAAGCTAAAAGCTACCAGTAAGTGTACATGTCTCTCTTGTAAACAAGTCCTTGAGGCTCAATGAGACTAGCCTGTAAATAAAGGTTGAATAAGTGTAGCAAAAGACTAGCTAAAGGCTAACTGGCACAGAATGGTATCAAAAAGTAGCAAATGGGAGCTTATAGCTAAAAGTACCAAAATAGTAGCTACGAGAAACAGAATGGGAGATAAATGTAGCAGAACAGTAGCTAAAAGCTGTAAAAGCATAAAAATACCAAACAGTCAGGAGCTGAAGGCGCTGAATTTAAAGAGAGCAAAGCTTTTAAAGGAATTAACCCTTGGATGCACGAACGACCAATACCTTCATTCTTCCATGAGTGGGGTCAAAAATGACCCCACTTAGAATCAATGTGTTTTTGTAATGAATTTAAAAGATGTCTTTGATTTTGGTTAAAGGCAATTATATTTATTATATTTGGGTCAACAAAAGACTGATTTTACATTTACCATGCTTATTCATAACTTTTTATAACATTTTCTCACAAGAAATAACAAAAAAATCTTCATAAATTATTGTTAGTATGTCCATCTGTCTGACAGACAAAAAAAAAAAAGAGAATGAATATACGACCAGAACACTGTCCACTCACATGTGTCCACACAAACGTCTTTTCTCTATTCACTATGTGCAGTTGTCACAAACTATTTGTTTTTGGCTGTGACCATTGCACACTGGGGTACTGCATTTCCAACACTAATTGGTGGCTTTGCAGTCTTTGTTTCTTGGACACATCTGGCACATCTTTCTCTTCTGTTGGCCCTCTGTGCCTCTCTCCTGTTACTTGTTTGCAACTTTTGTCACTCCACACCTTCCAATTGCTTCAGTGATGTAGGCTGGTAGGTTCAGGGTACCTTGGGTTGTGTAGGACTCCCAAAGAGCACACAGATTGGTACATCCCAGTTCTTCTCACTTCCTGCAAGAATGGCCATGAACTCCTCTTTGCTTAGATTTTTCCACTCTTTTCCTCTGTTTGTTGCGACTCTTCTTCCCTCTATGTTTGTGCATGTCAGCACCTCTTCTAATATACTATCAGTGATAAACAGCTTCCATGCATCTATTGGAGAGATGGTGCTTACCCCAGGTGCAGGCCCTGACTGACTTCTCAGCAAATTGTGACTTGGTGTTTTAGCCTGAGTGGGAGATAACTCTGCCCAGTAAGAGCCCTTGTGGCTCATTCTGTTGGACACAATATCTATTCTCTCTTTGGAGGACTCAGAGGACTCCTCCGTGTCTGACAGATCTTGTTCAGCAGAGGCAGGTTGGTTCCCAGACAGCCTGACATGTCCAGGTGGACAATAATCTGCATCTTCTACATCCGCGATGTCAGATCCCACCGATGGGCTCTTCATCCCATCCATTCAGGATCATATCTTGAACAACGTCTTTGGGTCTCCTAGCTGTCCTCCAAGAAACCATGATAGTCTAGATGAAAAAACATAAAACAGACAATGTTTGAATGACACAAAACTATAAATCATTATGTAGCTATCTAAGTAAATGTCTGTGCATTTATATGCAAGTAAAGGTACAGACATGCATGTGTACACACACACACACACACACACAGGCACCAATCAATATTCAATAATGATATAATAGGTTACCTAACAGGTTAGCACTTGTTACAAGGAATTGTGAATACAGTTAGTCTCTACACAACAAATGCAGTATTATCAGCTGGCTTACTAAGCTAGTGTAATGTTAGCAGAGTACTAACATTACTACTAACATTATTTTGGAGTTAGCTACCTAGAGTCTACTTTGTTGACCAACATGATATTCTATCACAGAAAAGCCATGGAGTTGATAAATGAAGATAATACTTACATGTATGCTGCTGTGTCAAACTGATCTCCTGATGGTGAAACTGCAGGCATCAGACATGTAAGTGGGACAGAAAATGTATCCTGACAGTCACAGTTGGTAAGAATCAAAGTTCCCCAAAGCAAACCCTTGAGATTCTATAGGAAATGCTTGGGGTCATTTTTAACCCCGTTTATGAAAAACTGGGGTAGTGACACAAAAACTGCAATTTCTTAAAATGTATAAAAACAGTTTAAAAAATTCAAATTGCTTGAAGTCACAAACATGTTTTATGAGGAATACCTGGAATATGGAAGAGTAAAAACTTTTAATTTCAGAGATTTTGAAGAATAACAACCCTTGGGGTCATTTTTTACCCCACTTATGCATCTAAGAGATCTGTGTATTTTAAATTCAAATTCAATTCAATTCAAAAATACTTTAATAATCCCAAAGGGAAATTAAATGTTGTTGTAACTCATCATACTGGTTTCATTAACGAGTTGTTATAGATGCTGATGGCTGTGGGCAGGAAGGATCTCCTGTATCGGTCTGTCCTACAACAGATCTGAAGAAGCCTCTGACTGAAGACACTTTGTTGATGTATGACAGTCTGATGAAGAGGATGCTCAGGGTTGTCTATAATGTTCTTCATTTGATGAAGAATCCTTCTTTGTACAATCATCTCCAAAGGTTCAAGAGGAGTCTCAAAAACTGAGCCAGCCTTCTTTATGAGCTTGTTGATCTTTTTTAAGTCACTTGTCATGTTTGTTACAGAGACCTGGCTCGTCCCTGGTGAGTTAAGTGTTTTTTCTGAACTTTTGCTGGTGGATTGTGCCTTTTTTAATGCTCCAAGGAATTTCTGACTGGAATACTGCTCTTTTACGACAGGGTCTTGATTCTGGAAGACTTTAATGTACATGTTTGCTGTCCTGACAAGCCTTTGGTGCAGGAGTTTCTAAATCTGATACAATCTTTCAACCTTGTGCAAAATGTTGTTGGTCCAACTCATCAACAGGGCCATACACTTGATTTAGTTCTGTCTCACGTTTTCTCTGTGGTTAATCTGGAAATTGGGGATGCTATTGTTTCAGATCACAAACCCATTTCATTCGAAACCTCTGTTATTCATGAGTCTAAATCCCCCGCTCCAGCCAAGAGTTGTCGGATATTTAACTCTTCAACCGCAGCCCTTTTTTCCTCTGCATTCATTACTGATGCTGATTCAGTCCCTGAAACCTCTGCCTGTATTAGTACGCAGGAGCTGCTCAGTAGGCATGATGTGACCTGCTCTAAGATTTTAGACCTCGTGGCCCCGCTAAAAATCAGGCGACCAAAGCGGACACCACACCCCTGGTTGAACGCGACCACTCGAGCGGCCAAACATCTATGCAGGAAAGCTGAACGCAAGTGGAAAAAGGACAAATTACAGGTTCCTTTTATTATGTTAAAAACATGTTTGAAAGATTATCAGAGCATCGTTAAATCTGAAATGAACAAATACTTCTCCCAAATCATTGCTTCAAACAGTCATAATCCCGTGTTCTTTTTAATACCGTAAATTCCATTTAAAACGTGCCTCGGTCTGCCAGCATGGAGGCCTCCGTTGACATCTGCAACGACTTTACCAGATACTTTGCTGATAAGGTAGAGTTGATTAGGTCATCCATCCTCCAGTCCACAACTGACCCCTCTGTCTTTGTCCCTTGCTCAGCTGTCTTAAAACAGTTTGAACCCATTTCACTCCCATTTCTAAACAAAGTCGTTGGTCAGATGAAACCCTCCGGTTCCCCTTGCTGACCCCATTCCTGCGTCGTTTTTCAAACAAGTTCTACCCACGATTGGACCCTCTGTTCTTACTGTTGTAAATAGTAGTATTGTGACAAGTGTGGTTCCCGATGTTTTCAAACATGCAGTAGTTCATCTGTTAATTAAGAAATCTGGACTTGACCCTTCAAATTGCTCAAATTTCAGACCAATCTCAAAACTTCCCTTCCTGTCCAAAATCCTGGAGGAAATAGTTTTCATTCAAACAAGTTTTTGAATGAGAACAGAATATTCGAGATTTTTCAATCTGGTTTTAAGCAACTCCACAGCACAGAAGCAGCATTAGTAAGGGTTTGTAACGACATTATGATATCAAACGATTCTGGTCAATTTGTGGTACTTGTGCTCCTGGACCTTACTGCTGCTTTTGATACTGTTGACCACAGTATCCTTATATCACGGCTGGAACAGTGGGTTGGGATCACATGTGCTACATTAGAATGGTTCCGCTCATACCTGAGTGGCAGGAGCTTCTGTGTCAAGGTTAGTAATAATATATCGGCCTCGTTACCTCTTTCTTGCGAGGTCCCACAGGATTCGATTCTTGGACCCCTTCTGTTCTCACTTTATTTGCTCCCACTGGGATCCATCCTGAGGAAACATGGTCTTTCATTCCATTGCTATGCTGATGACTGCCAGATCTACCTGCCTGTGAAACCAGCAAGTGTTTGCTCCATTCACCCTCTGTTAAAATGTCTGGATGACATTAAGGCCTGGATGGCTTCAAATTTCTTAAGTTTTAACAATGACAAGACTGAAGTAATTGTTTTTAGCCCTAGCTCAACTGCCACCACTGATCCTGTCAACCTGGACTCTCTTCAGCCATATCTGAAGCAGTCTGGTAAAAATCTCGGGATGGTTTTAGACTCTGACTTCAAGTTTGACAAACAAATCAACTCTGTTCTGCAGAAAAGCTTCTTCCAACTCAGACAGGTAGCTAAGCTCAAGCCAGTATTGTCCAGACCCGACCTTGAGAAACTAGTCCACACCTTTGTCATGACCCGATTGGACTATTGCAATGCACTGTATGCTGGGATCAGCCAGGCCTCCATTTCACGTCTTCAGCTCATCCAGAATGCTGCTGCTCGGCTTTTAACTGGATCTCGTAGGTCTGAACATATTACTCCAGTTCTGTCCTCCCTTCACTGGCTCCCTGTTCGTACGAGGATAGTCTTTAAAATTCTTCTGTTGACCTTCAAATGCCTAAATGGCCTCGCACCCCTTTACCTCTCTGAGCTTCTGGAACCTTACGTTCCCTCTTGGGCCCTGAGATCATCCGATCAGCTGCTTTTGGCTGTTCCAAAAACAAGACTGAAGCTCAGAGGAGATCGGACTTTTTCAGTCATGGGCCCCAAACTCTGGAACAACCTGCCCCCCAACATCAGGCAGCCTACCTTCCTTCCTCACTTCAAATCCCTGCTAAAAACACATCTGTTCTCTCAGGCATTTCATACAGTGTAAATTGAGCTAGTGTTTTTTAATCTGTGACCCTATGTTTTAAATGCTTTTTATTAATTCTTCAGTTATTATTATTAGTGTATTATATATATATATTTTTCTCTTTAATTTTACTCTCATTGATTGTTGTTGTTGTTAAGCACTTTGATAACAGGTTCTGTTTTAAATGTGTTCTATAAATAAAGTTGACTTGACTTGACAACTTCGGAGCTGATGACATCACACGCAGTCTCGGCAACAGCACTGGGTGGAAGGTAAACAGTTGCAAAATAACACTGGTGAACTCTCTTGGCAAATAATATGGACAACTTGGTGCTAACAGTTCAATATCTGGACTGCAGAGACGACACTTCACAGTAGCATGTCCAGGATGACATCATCTGTTGTTCACAAGCACTGTCAACCCACCTCCTTTGCTTTTGCCACTCCTCTTTAAATCTCTATCTGCTCGTATGGTTATAAAGTCTGGCAGAGAAACGCTGGAGTCAGGGATATGATCCTGCAGCCATGTCTCAGTGAAACACATAACCCTGCATTCCCGATACTCTAAATGGGTACTTGTTAGGGCCTGAAGTTTATCCAACTTGTTTACCATTGATCTCACATTGCCCATCATGATCAATGGAAGAGATTTCATTCTTCTCTCTTTCTCCCTCTTCTTTGCTCCTGCTCTGCATCCACAATGCCTCCTTTTTAACTCAATTGGGATTTGGGGCTGTAGTTGAGATATTATTTGAGCTTTGGAGACATTAATCAGCTGCTCCCAGTTGTAAAAAACAACCTTGTTGTTATGGTTATGCATCATAACAAATGTAAATGGTAAATGGACTGCACTTATATAGCATCTTTCTATCTTCTTGATATACTCAAAGTGCTTTACACAACAACCTGTGTCCTCATTTACCCATTCATACAGCACTCTACTAGATCTCTACAAAGCTAATTGAAAATAATATTCTATAGACTAATCAGAGCTTTATCACATTCATACACTGATGGGACACACATCGGAGGCAGTGAGGGGTTCAGTGTCTTGCTCAGGGACACTTCGGCATGTGACTGTGGGTGGACTCGAACCCCCAACTCTTGCTTTGTAGGACGACTGCTCTAACCATTCAGTCACAGCCGCCCCAAAAGCAAAGATAGTTCTGTAAAAATCCTTCCAGCTGCACAGCATCCGACAGCAGAGGAAATAATCGTCCAAAAAAAGTGATTTATATCAAGAAAAAAGAGAAATTAAAGTTTTCAAAAGTAATATCTCAGAAAAAAGTAACGGAGCTACTCCAACATGCAGCCACCTTCAGTGGCACAATTCTAGAATCTCAATTATGAATTACTAGAATTATGGGGAAATATTTTGAAATTGTGTTTTGAAAAAGTATAAAAGTCGCACCAGCACCAGTCAGCTGAAAGAGTTTTGATTTAGGAACAGCTGAACTAGTCTGCAGGAGGAGTTCCGTCACAAAACACACACAGAAAGAGAAGGAAAACAGAGTAAATGCTGACTCAGCATTTAGATGAATATAAATGTTTCCAGTGTGTGATGTTTCTTCCTGCAGGCTTCGGTTTGTTTCTGTCAGTAAAATAACTGACTGGAATGCTTCAGAGAAGTGTCTGTGCGACATCACTCTCCAAGTTCAGCGTGTCCGTTTGTTAACAGTCAATAAAGTTTGGTGTTTTGTATGAGCCTCGGCTGGCTGTTGCTCCTGCTGCCGTTACTGGAACTCATGAGTCACATCCAGACCCAAACTGAAACTAAAGCCTCGCTGCGGTTCACAGCCAAGGCTCCGCCCACATCATGGTCACTGCTGCCGCTGAGCGACAGGAAGTGAGCTTGGGCTCACCAACACGCCTGCAGCTGAGGCTTCCTGTGCGACCAGATGCAGAGACGAGTCAAACTGAGGAGACGAGGCAGGAAGTCCAACATCTGGTCCCGTTCATGCTTCATCAGAACCTAAGCTCCAGGAATGCTTGTCGCTCGCCGTGCTGCACGCCCACATTTTAAAGACGCATCAGCGCTCAGAGGATGCTCAGAGGATCAGTCTTGGCTACTACCACACCAAAGTTTAGCTCAGTACTTCTAAAAATGCCAGAGCTAGAGAGAGTTCTGTGGTGCCGTCTTGAATCAAGGCTGAAACGTTCAGCCGATTAGCACTTTAAAGGTCCAACAAATCAGATCTCATGAGATATTTCACTAACAAACAAACACGCAGACACAGAATTAAAAACAATTCAGCTGATTCTTTTGATAACTGAAAATCGATTAATTGTAGCATCTGTTTTGCTCATTTCTGCTAATGATTTGTTAAATTTAACTTGGGCATCTGCCAATTTTAGCTACTGTTCTGCTTTCATTTCTAGCTATTGTTCAGCCTCTTTTTGCTTCTACATTCAGTTCAGCTACTTTTGGCTATGGTTCCGTTAAGTTCAACCTCAGCTTCTGTTTTGATAATAATAGCGTCTAGCTAAGATTCTGCTACTCTTACATTTTAACTATGGTTTTAGCTACAGTTTAGCTAATTTTAACTTGGGAATCAATGTTTCTGATTTTACATTTTTTCTTAAATTTTAATATCTGTTTTGTTTGGGGCGGCCATAGCTGAGTGGTTAGAGCAGTCGTCCTCCAATGCAAGAGTTGGGGGTTTGATTCCACCAGCGGTCACACGCTGAAGTGTCCTTGGGCAAGACACTGAACCCTCATTGCCTCCGATGTGAGTCTCGTCAGTGTATGAATGTGATAAAGCTCTGATTATTCTTTGAACAGATCTAGTATAGAGCTGTATGAATGGGTAAATGTGTTGTAAAGAGCTTTGAGTGTCTTTAGAAAGGTGCTATATAAGTATAGTCCATTTATCACCATATATTTAGCTAATGCTTTGTTGATTTTTACCTTAGCATGTTTCGCTAATTTTAGCTACTATTCAGCTGCTTTTCTCTTCAAGCTACTGCCTAATTTCTTTAACTAGTTTTGCAACTTTCAGCTTTTAGCCTCTGATTTGCTAATTTAAGGATTCAGCTACTTGTAGCTTTTTATATGCTGTTAATTTAAGCTACAGTTTTTGTATTTACAGCATCGGTTTTGCTCAATTTTAGCTACTGCTTCACTAATTTTAGCTTGTCATCTGTAACCTGTATAATTAAACAGATGTATATCGCCTGCTGCATTTAATGTCGAGCTTTTGGCTACCGTCTGTTAGCCCTCAAAGTCTTTAGAGAGATCACGCTCAGCTACTACAAGTTTAAGCTCATTATCTGTGAAATCAGCTGCCACGCTTGTATTTTAAAAGTGGGTTAGCTATGGCGGCCATGTTAAATCTTGTTGACTCCCAAAGTAATGAGTTATACATGATCACCCAGTGGTTACTGTCTGACAGTTTCATTGAAATCCGACCACCACTTGTTCAGAAGATATTTTGCCAACAGACAGGCAGAAACCAGGTTTAAAAGCACTATCGCCCGCCTCTAGGCTTTCAGCGGCGGGCGATAAGGACTTCTTGCTCTGCGGAGGATAAGACATAGAAGTTAGGACTGGGTCAGAACTTTCCATCAGAACCTTTTAGAAGACGTGCTGATTCGGCTCTACAATTGACGGAATCGGACTTTAATTCACCAGCACTTGTTTACGTTGTCCGATCAGAACCCGGCGGGTTCCTTCCAGAGTAAACAGCTCGGTTCTGCTCTGCTGAACCCGAAACCGGCTCGGACAGCCGGTTCCGACCCGGTCCATCAGGACTACCTGTAGTAGTAGACGTCGCTTTTTCCGGCGCTCAGTCCGGACTTCCGGATCACCTCCTCTCTCTTCCAGCCGGGCGGCAGAGCCGGACAGTCTGACCGCTTCCGCTCCATCATGGGTCGGAACCCCACGCGGCTCTGGACGAGTCCGACAGAAGGTTCGGCGAGTTCCTGAGGTGAAAACGAGTGGTTCGAACCCCGGCAGCAGACCCACGTACGTCACGGACGTTAACGGCAGCCCGTCCCAAAAATCCTCCGCCCCGGTTTCTCTCTTTTCGGGTTTTGACTCAAACAGAAAGTTGAACCGAGGCGGGTTCCGGGTTTGAACAGGTTCGGTTCGGTCCAACCAACAGCTTATTTAGATCTAAACTGATCTGAACCAGACCAACAGCAGCCTGTGACGTCTGAGATCACTACTACGACACGATCACGCACGCTGTCTCACTTCGTCACTACCAGGATTGAGTCAGTCAGAGATCGTGTATTGTTGATCAAGAGGTCTCACTTCGTCACTACCAGGATTGAGTCAGTCAGAGATCGTGTATTGTTGATCAAGAGGTCTCACTCCGTCTCTACCAGGATTGAGTCAGTCAGAGATCGTGTATTATTGATTAAGAGGTCTCACTTCGTCACTACCAGGATGAGTCAGTCAGAGATCGTGTATTTTGATTAAGAGGTCTCACTCCGTCAATACCAGGATGGAGTACCAAGACAATTTTTTTTGTCATTCTCATCACATGTGGTACATGAGATGGAACGAAATTATGTACTCAGGGTCCCAGTTACATCCAAAAATAGCAAACATATAAAGTATAAAAAAACAATATATAAGGGTCTAAGATGTACGCTAAACAAATGCCAGATGATACACTAAAAGATGTTCACAAAACACTAAAAATGTAAAACAATACTGTGTAACAATATCAGACCGAACATGAGTCTGTGGTGAGCAGATGAGTATGAATGAATACAGCAGCATGAGATAATCAGCAGCATGTGATCAGCAGCACAGATAAGTCACATATTACCAATCAAACTGGCTTTACAGTGAATTTTTTTTTCTTAGCAATTATCCTGGTTAGAGATTTATGAGTCTAGCCACTTCAGGGTAGAAGCTGTTCCTTAATCTAGTGGTTCTACACTTAATGCTCCACAAACTTCTGCCTGAGGGGAGTTGGGCAAAAAGTGTGTGTGCTGGGTGAGTGTGGTCCTTCATGATGCAGGTGGCCCTCTTCCTGCATCTGGAGGTGTAGATGTCTGTGATGGTGGGGAGGCTGACTCCAACAGTCTTCTGTGCAGCCTTCACCACTCTCTGCAGATATTTCCTTTCTGCAACTGTGTAGTCCCCATGCCACACATTAATGCTGGAGCACAGGATACTCCACTGTAGAAGGAGGTGAGGACTGAGCTTCCCAGACCAGCTTGCCTCAGCCACCTGAGGAAGTAGAGTTGCTGTTGAGCTTTCTTGATCAGGCTGGTAGTGTTGTTGTCCCAGCTAAGGTTGTCATTCAGGTGCACACCCAAGTACCTGTAACTGAAGACCATTTCCACCATAGATCCTCCTATGTTCAGGGTGGAGTAGGTGTGTTTGCTCCTTCTGAAATCCACAATAATCTCCTTTGTCTTCTTTACATTGATGTGGAGTTGTTCTTCCTGTGCCAGCTCTCCAGGTGTTCCACCTCCTGCCTGTAGCCATACTCGTTGTTTGTGATGCATCCAACCACAGCTGTATCATCTGCAAACTTTACAATATGACAGCCTGGATGGAGCAGTCATATTTGAGCAGAATGAACAGGAGGGGGATAAACACACAGCCATGAGGGGACCCAGTGCTGAGGGTTATTGTGGAAGAGGAGAAGTTGTGGATCCTCACAGACTGCAGTCTGTTGGTTAAGAAATCCAGGACCCAGTTGCCAAGGGAGGGGCATAGTCCTAGTGTGAGTAGTTTGTCCATTAGGATCTGGGAAGTCAGGGTGTTGAAGGCTAATGTGAAGTCCACAAAAAGCATATGGACGTAGGAGTTCTGCTCCAGGTGGTTGAGAGCAGTATGGACCAGGGCTCCAAGAGACTTTTTCATAGGTCCTGAGAAGATACAGATGTTCACCGAGTTTCAGAATTATCAGTCATAAATTGGCTTGGGGCTTAAGTTTTAAAATATTCTAGGGGGCGCTGTGTAGGCTATTGGCCACTTATCATGGATTCCTGTTCAAGGGGTGGATAATGATCGATCATACAGATTTTGGTGCACCTCGGCTCAAATCTGTGCAATTTAGAGCCAAACGTATGGCGAAAGCGTTATGTCTTACTTTGCCACGTCGTGCCGCCCACATGCTCCATCCAAAACTGTCAGTGTTGGAAAGCAAGTTACACCAACATGTCTTTGGTCACTGGACACACTATCATGCTGATTATATCACAGGGGTCAGATAGGGACCATTCAACGTAAAACTTTACACTTCCTGTTCTCAGGGGGCGTGGCTGAAGTGATGTGACAATTTAGTCTTGCAGGGGTCCGATGTGGATTAATCACTGAAGGTTGATGTCTTAGGCAGTTTTCGTGTAGGAGCTCTTAGCGTTTCGTTTTTCATGGCGAGATGTCAAACTTTGAGTTCTGGCCCCGCCCCTTCAGCATGCTCCGAAACGCACCGTTTAGATAATTTTTTGTCCCCCATGCCTTTTGACCAAAATGGCCAATTTTGAAACCGATTGAGTGACATCCCTAGGAGGAGGAGTTCAAATGCGGAGGCTGTAAACTGCCAAATAAGTCCTGATGCATGCTCAATAATCCAGGTAGAAAAATCTAAAAAAGTTAAATCTGGTCCTCTGGACATTCAAAAAAACAAAACTAAACTGAGACGTTTATTTTCTAAACATAACGTCCCAGTGGCTTTTAAACCCCAAAATACATTACGGCAAAGACTGGTTCATCCCAAAGATCGTCCCCCGGCACAAACAGAGTAATGTTGTGTATGCTGTTCAGTGTCAGGAGGGCTGTGATCAGTCTTACATCGGGGAAACTAAACAGCCACTGGCCAAAAGGATGGACCAGCACAGAAGATCATCATCATCAGGCCAGGACTCTGTGGTCTACACTCATCTCCAGGCCAGCGGTCACTCTTTCAGGGATGAAGATGTTCACATCCTGGACAGAGAGGAACGATGGTTTGAGAGAGGAGTAAAGGAGGCCATCTTTGTGAGAAGAAATCGTCCATCATTAAACAGGGGTGGAGCCTCCTGGTTCAACTGTCCCCCTCTTACAATGCTGTGATTGCTAGTATCACTCAGCCCTCTGTGAGTAGTAAACAGCCATCAGTGTGCTAATGATCCATTGTTAGGCTGATGGTCCTTCTTGAGCATGTGATCAGCTGGTTTTGGTTGTCAGCAGCAAACTGGTTGATCCTCTCTGAGAAGGTGCTATTTAAGAGACTGAGCTGAAAACAGCACCTCAGACTGAGGAAGTCTCTTGGATGAGAGACGAAACGTTTCTACTTTTTTATTTTTATTATTTTTTATTTATTTATTTATTTTTAATGTCCATAGGACCAGATTTAACTTTTTAGATCATTTAGATGAGTAGTGTTGAACACAAGTAAAAAAGTCTAGTGGTGATAGTTTTTATTTCCCTATCAATACAAATAGTGTCGACCTGATGCTGTATGTTAAAGTGTATTAAAATGTAAATGTCTTTAAAACATATATCTGAATTTACACAAACTTGGTGAGAAACATGTTTTAAATGTGTGGAATTAAAGGAAATAATGCTGCTTTTATTGTACACTAGTGTACACGTTTTTTTACACCTACACACATCATTGTGCCCCCCCCCCCCACACACACACACACATTACGGATGTTTCTGACGCCCTTGGCCTTGATGAACAGGTTGTTTTGAAGAAGCCTGATAAGAACAGATCTGACATGTTTGTGATGTGAAGTAATGTCTTTGGAGAAGATGAGAATGTCGTCTAGATAAACAAAAACAAAATGGTTGACCATATCTCTGAGAACGTCATTGACAAGTGCTTGAAAAACAGCAGAAGCATTGGTTCGGCCGAAAGGCATTACCAGGTATTTGTAATGTCTGTTGGGGTGTTGAATGCCGTCTTCCATTCATCCCCCTCTCTGATGCGAACCAGGTGGTGCATGTTTCTTAAATCCAGCTTGGTAAATAGCTCCCCGAATAAGGTTGAACACGGGTAAAGGGTATTTGTTCTTAGTTGTGATCTTGTTAAGACCTCTATAATCAATGCATGGCCTAAGAGAGCCATCTTTCTTACCCACAAAGAAAGAAATAAATCCTGCCCCAGCAGGAGTTGCTGATGGCTGGATAATGCCGGCTTGAAGTGACTCTTTAATGTACTCTTGCATGGTGGTGTGTTCAGGACCCGACAGTGAATAAAGACTTTCCTTAGGGGGTGTAGTACCGGGTATTAAATCAATGACACAATCATAAGGTTATGGTTTTAGTAATATTTTAATTTTATGAGATACTGAATTTGGGGTTTTCATGAGTTGTCAGTTATAATCATCAACATTAAAATAAATAAACATTTGGAATATATCAGTCTGTGTGTAATGAATGAATATAATATACAAGTTTCATTTTTTGAATGGAATTACTGAAATAAATCAACTTTTTCATGATATTCTAATTTTATGACCAGCTTCTGTATAGCCTACTAAAGATCAATGAAATTCACGACATTCTCACCTTTTGCACAACTAAATCCACTAAAATCACAAACTTCTGACCAATAAGGTTTATATTTATTTGTTTAAACATGTTTGTTCCTCCTCTTTTTATGAAAGTGTTTGAAAAAATAAACTAGACAAAATATCAAAACTAAAATATATACTGGTACAGAGACTGAGCTGAAAACAGCAGCTCAGACTGAGGAAGTCTCTTGGATGAGAGACAAAACGTTTCTACATTTTTTTTGCTTTGTTTTGTTTTTTTTGAATGTCCAGAGGACCAGATTGAACTTTCTTGGATATATACTGGTACCTTAATGTCTAAAGTGATCAATAAAAGGTTTGAAAACATCAAGAACAAGTGCAGGTGCACACAGTCACTTGGAGTCACACTTCCTGTCTGACAACTCAGGCTCTGATTTTGGGTCCGTTAAGATGAGAGCAATATGGAACTACAAAATGTATTTTCTGCACGAATGCAGTGTGAATGCTTAGTTGTGATTTTTGGCTTGTTTTTGTTTGGCTTGGATTTTGTTTTATGGCTGATATTTATATATGGGTTATGCTATTTT